CTACTTTAGACCAGGGCCCATAGGACTGTAGTGCACTACTTTAGACCAGGGCCCATAGGACTGTAGTGCACTACTTTAGACCAGGGCCCATAGGACTGTAGTGCACTACTTTAGACCAGGGCCCAGAGGACTGTTGAAAAGTAGTGCACTACTTTAGACCAGGGCCCAGAGGACTGTTGAAAGTAGTGCACTACTTTAGACCAGGGCCCATAGGACTGTAGTGCACTACTTTAGACCAGGGCCCAGAGGACTGTAGTGCACTACTTAGACCAGGGGCCCATAGGACTGTAGTGCACTACTTTAGACCAGGGCCCAGAGGACTGTAGTGCACTACTTTAGACCAGGGCCCAGAGGACTGTAGTGCACTACTTTAGACCAGGGCCCATAGGACTGTAGTGCACTACTTTAGACCAGGGCCCATAGGACTGTAGTGCACTACTTTAGACCAGGGCCCATAGGACTGTAGTGCACTACTTTAGACCAGGGCCCATAGGACTGTAGTGCACTACTTTAGACCAGGGCCCAGAGGACTGTTGAAAAGTAGTGCACTACTTTAGACCAGGGCCCAGAGGACTGTTGAAAGTAGTGCACTACTTTAGACCAGGGCCCATAGGACTGTAGTGCACTACTTTAGACCAGGGCCCATAGGACTGTAGTGCACTACTTTAGACCAGGGCCCATAGGACTGTAGTGCACTACTTAGACCAGGGCCCAGAGGACTGTAGTGCACTACTTTAGACCAGGGCCCATAGGACTGTAGTGCACTACTTTAGACCAGGGCCCATAGGACTGTAGTGCACTACTTTAGACCAGGGCCCATAGGACTGTAGTGCACTACTTTAGACCAGGGCCCATAGGACTGTAGTGCACTACTTTGGGAGTAAGGTGCCATTTGGGACACATCCATACTATAACTTGAGCCAATCACAGACAGAATACAGTACATGGCCTAGCCAATCACAGACAGAATACAGTACATGGCCTAGCCAATCACAGACAGAATACAGTACATGGCCTAGCCAATCACAGACAGAATACAGTACATGGCCTAGCCAATCACAGACAGAATACAGTACATGGCCTAGCCAATCACAGACAGAATACAGTACATGGCCTAGCCAATCACAGACAGAATACAGTACATGGCCTAGCAATCACAGACAGAATACAGTAACATGGCCTAAGCCAATCACAGACAGAATAAGTACATGGCCTAGCCAATCACAGAC